AGTGGTAGTGGTGGTAATAGTAGCAGCAGCAACAGGAATCTTCTAAACCCTCTTGCTGTCCTCTGAATCGGAGCCAGAAGAGGACCCTGCAAAGGCAGGTGGGATGTATCAATTTCACTCAAACAGCGGGTGTCTTGCCAGAGGGCTTTCTAAGGATCATGCTGGAATCGCATAGCTTCGGAGAAATTATGGGTGCATCTTGGCACTTTTTTTGGATACATTGGGGGTCCAACTTTTGAGAAACGGCCCGTTGAATCTGCAACTCACCGCGAGGAAAACGGTATCTGTTCGGCAGGATATTCAGCACGCTCACCCTTCTCCGTAGAAATGCTGTGCCTGAGTCCGAGGAGGAGCCTGAAGATGAGGAAGCTGCTGCTCCTATTCCTCGGCAGCAGGGGTTTATGAACTGGTATGAACTCCCCTGCATGCAGCAGCCAGATAGCCAAGTGTGAGTCCTTTTGCGCTTGGCCTGACTGCCTGGCAGATGCGTGGCGAGAAGAACAGCTGGGCCTGTGAGAGGATCCTTCACTGGCCTGCTTCAGAGCAAGGAGCTGACGCTCGTGCTCCGGAGATCGGAGCATGTCGTCCATAGCATGGAAGGCACTGATCAATGCCTTCCGCAGAACCCCAGCACAGCCCCATCTCTCCCACTGTGGACTCAAATTGGCCTCTCCCAGTACATCTCCAGACAGCCTTCCAGTGCCAACACCGCTTTAATAAGTCACTACGTTTGATCTCACAGGTAATTTGCTTCCGCTGATTGTTGGGGAGCAGTGACGGTGCTTCTTAAAAGGCCTCAGAAGCCTCCTCACTCATGGGAAAACTGTGCTATACCGTGCTAAGGTCTCCAATTGCAAGCCTTGCTCCATCCGCCAGCCGCTTTCGCAACTGCCTGAGAGCTTCTAGCTAGAAATGATCCATCACACTTATGATGTGTGCTTGTGAGGGGTAGAGTGAAGGAGGCCAACAGGCGGATCTGTGATGTCAGCTTTTGCCAGATCCTCTCGGTGTGGTCAAAGAATCGTTGAACTTGAATCGCAGCTAAGACATCAACAGCTGATTGCGACTGTATTTCCTCAGCACTAATTTCTGCAGGGGTCACATGGCTATTGACGGATCCAGATGCAGCCTTTGAGCATTTTCACCTCAAAGACATCTGCAGTCCAAAATCAATGCATGCAACATAATTTGTCAGCATACATCACTATGGAGGTCAGGCAGATGGGATGCATGAAAGAAAGCAGCATTAGCCGGCCAGAAACATAATCGGTGCTGACCCAATGCTGCACAGAATGTTTGCTGCGAAGACAGATGCCGGGCCTTCGGATCTCATCGGGAAGGTGCTGTTTGCAGAAGGCCGCTACCTTAGCACGTGTATCCAACTGGACCTTACGATGACAAAGGTAGCACACCCCGCCACAGCCATGCTAGCTTCCCTCTCCTGCCTCCGCACCGCCATGGCCATCAAACACGCCGAACAAGGAAAGCTCGTCCCTGAGCAGAACATGCGCCCTTCACGAACATCAATAGATCGGGAGATGCAAGCAGGCATGCCAAAGTTCGATTCTCCAACAGACATCCAGTCAAACGCAGGGAAGGCACAGCAGTTGATCCATGCCCACGAACCGCATGTAGATACATGTGCAGACTACAGAAAGGTTCAGTGGAGAGGCTGCTGTGATAAGCTCATTGCTTAGTTTTGTTGACGCAACCTCAGGCTCCTGCAGCTCGTCCCCAAGCCCAGACACAGCTATGTGGGCGTCCTTGTCAGCCAGAGACTTTGAGGCCGCTGAAGCCATTACAGCGGCAAGGCCTCCATGCCAGTTCTCCAGCCCTGCATAGCGCTGCATCCCCAGACATGGCCCCTGCAGGGACTTAATGAGCTCGGCAACATGAGGACAGTTGCCAAAACTATGGTCCCCTCTTAGGTTCCCACTACAATGCAGCCCCTTTTACTTAGGGAACTATGGGAACCTCAAAGGGGACCACTATTTTGACAATCCGCCATGTTTCGCGGAGAGTTTTTGAGGTCAGCAACATGGCATCACAGGTGTCAGCAGGAGTGACACAAACCAGCCTCCCTCTTCCGTAACACGACCTGTCGCACAGCAGCTAGCAGCTAGCAGCTAGCAGCTGGAGCTTGGCCCTTCGTGCCCAGCATTTTGGGGTAGTCTTGTAGCCACTCCCTGTAACGATGCCAGGGTTGCTCCTTGTCAGTGACCGGCTGAGACCTGAGGCAAAGCAGGAATGAAAGCAGCTACTGTATGACACAAGAGCTTAGCCTGCTCATGTGGGAAGTCCTAAGGCTGAGGCAGGTAGGAGCCCATGTCTCATGGACCCTTCTGTACACTAAGCACTATGGCCGAGCTTGTGCCGGCATCCCATATCCACAGCCAGCAGGGCGTGCTGGGAAGCGTCTTCAATTGAATCTGTTTGAGAGTTCTCTGCATTTTCAGGTGAGGCGTAGCTGCCACTGCGAGATTGCTCTCAAGGCTGTGGTAAATCGGTTCCTTTGGTATTGGCTTGTCTGTCGCATTACTTGTTTCTTTAACCTGTTGGGCCAACATGCGGCTGCTGCTCGTACGAGGATCGGAAAACATGGAGCTGAGCCTTCAAGCAAAACTGCATTGCCATCTCATTTGCACAGCCACGATCTCACAGCAACCCTTTCAGCCTGGAAAGCCCGCCGCACGTCCTAAACAGTGGACCGGGGGCTGGCTTTTGGCATCGGAAAAGATTGGGCTGCCCATTGGCGCTTGAGAGAACGGTGCTAAGCTACAGAATTTCACAGGTCAATTCGATATCGGAGCCCTTTGGAGCGCATTCGACTATGCTCGTTGCTCCAGCGAAGGGTGATGACGCTGTCCCGCAGAGCGGTATACTTGCCAGAGATCTCACCCTCAGAAGCTTGCACCATGAGGGCCTCGACCACATCCTCTTCCTGTGGTTCATCCGGCTGCCCGTCTTGAGCAAACTCCGGGTGAAGCCACAAAACGGCCGAAAACTCGATGTCCGAAGCACCAAACCAGCCATCGCCATCTCCTGCGACCACCGAGAAGGACCATGCGATCGTCTCGCCACCCCGCAGCTCCCGGCATCTCTGGAAGCAGTCGCCCGCTGCCACCAGGGTCTCTCCGCTGTTTGCATCCTGGCTCTGAGGAAGCTGTTTATTGAGAGTAGAACTGCTTTCTGAGCTGAGTGTGCTTGGCCATACTTGGCTGTGCGACTAACTTTTTCTTGAAGTCTTGCTGCCAGAAGACGGTCTCCCCAGAAACGAGGCCCACACGAGTGGCGAGCAGGTGTTTTAACTGAGACTCGGAAACCAATTCCAAGAAATCCTTAGCAGTCTCCAGGTCCAAGCATTCCAGGACATAATGACCACTCTACACCTATCCACTATGCAAACCGGCTGCGTACCGATGGCTGCAAAACATATCTCCCCAACGAAACTATCCTCCGATAACACCCAGGCCCTGTTCTTATGGGTGAGAAGCTTCCAAACTTTCACGTCAAGCACTTCTTAATGCGTGGGGGAACGTTGCTAGCCTTCCAACTGCAAGCTAGCTCGGTCATTTTTTGCCTTCATCAGTCAAGAGTCTGGATTGGAGGTGCCGTCGCCGTCCAGAAGCACCAGCTTCTGAGAAAAGCGCTCTGGCACCAGGGCCTTGAACCAATTGAAGGCCTTCACAGCCACCCATGGTGCATTGAGCACGTAGGCCGGTCCAAAGACTTCTATCGCGATTTGGCGCATGAACTTCAAATTCGCCTGGTTCCTATCGTCGAACTCTTCAACCCTTGGGAAGCCTGTTGTGGTAGTACCACTGCCATGAAGGTCAATGATCGTGATGCACTTAGCCTTGGGTGAATCCTAGACCCCACATCCGGAAGACCTTAACCTTACATCTTGAAATCCTATATTTTAAGCCTGTAGCCACAAGCCCGATTCGAAAAAAACCAAACTCTACGACTTTAAGCCAAACCCCAAATGCCTGAACTCTAAAGCTCGAAACTCCAAAAGACACCCACAAGCCTCAACCCTGGAACTGACAGGGATAGATTGGAAGGGACGATCACAAGGGGAGGACTGTAGACTCAACATCTAAACATGACCCCTTCATATACCACACAAAACGCCCTCCAAAACCGTTGAAACCATGATCCCTGGGGCCCAGGAGGTTCGGAGATGTTCTGTCAGGGGTGACAGGAACCCAATGCATTATGGTAGTTTACCAAAAATTTAGGGCCCGTTTATATACTCCAATATAGTATAATCCTTATCATGGGGACCCCCAACAAGGTACCCTAATTTTGGGAAACCCTAATCCCAATAAACCCCTATATAATCCCAGCTTCCATTTCCTGTTCCCTTTTCTTTACCATTTGATTCTCCATTATTGGGAAGACCATATACACCCTAAACCCTAATCCCTAAACCCTAAACCCAAAGTACCCCTCATTGTGGGAAACCCCATGATCCCTGGAATGCCATAGGTTGAATTGCACGCCTTGTCAGCTTGAGAGAGTAGGGACTCTAGCAGTTTCTAGTTTACTATTCTCGTCTGTTACAGTTTATTATAATATACTATAGTATACTATAGTATATTATACTATAATATACTATAGTATACTATATTATAAAATATTCTAGTATAATACAGAATTAGTGTATTACAGTATATCTTAATACATTATGGTATATGCCTGACCGCCGTGTGAGTGAGAGTAGCTTGAGACAGAGAACCTTGGAATATTTCTTACACGGGAGCCGGTTGCCAGTTCCCTTACGCGTTTGAACGGAAAGCTGGTGGTTTGCGCTTTTTTTTGTAGAGGACGCTGCTGACTAAGGCAGCGTGTGATGTTCTGAACGGGGAACTGATGGCTTCATCCATTGTGTAACCTTAAGAGGGCTATCTAAACTTAGTTTGGATTTCATGTCCAATTTCTTTTCCATCTCCTTCTCCACTATCCCTGAACCCTACACCCGAAATTGAAACGGTTGTCGTAGCAAATGTTCCCTATACACCCTTCCATCTTCGTTTCCATTCCTAGGCGCGAAACCCAAAGTAGTGCTTTCTTCCACTTTGATGAATCTTGTGGTACCAAGTAGCCATCCTTCCCTGGGCCGCGCTTAACTTGTAAGCCTCCAGAGCTCGCAAAATGATCATGGCACGCAGGTGCCTCAGCCATTGGGCTCACGGGGGCAAGGGAGGGACGGAGAGGAAAGATTAGATAGGAAACTTGCTAAGGACAAAGGAAATCTGTAGAAAGATTCTGGGGATTAGAAGGGTCTTAATCAGAAACAACAAGGTTCACTAATCCTCGTTCTGCTTGAGCATGCTGAAAGATACAACATGTTCTGTAAGAGTGGCACAGGTACTCTACCCAATGTGCCCAGTCCACCTCCTGGCATTCAAGTTTTGATTTGCTCTCCATTCCTGGGCCTTGCCATGAAGCTGATGATCATATGAACCATTGTCTAAACTCCTAGTATCCCCCTTAATATCCCCTATAGTAGTCCCCTATGTAATCCCTTGTATAACCCCTTTAAGGAATTTAGACTATAGCTCATATCAGAAAGACACGAGTGCAGCGGAAGCAATAGTCGCAGCTGTGATAGCGGAGGTAATACTAATGGCAGCCGCCGTCACTGCCAGGTGCTTGTTCTTCAGTTCTGTTAAGCGAGGCAAGGGGTGCAGTAATCATACTACCAGAAATTGAACTTTTTGGGTGGGGCGGGAAACATTTGATGCTGCACTTGTGTTTCAAAGAGGGGGCCCTAATATAGACCCCAAATTACTACAGTTCTTTGTGCAGGGAGCCCCACAAAGGTACCCCAAACTCAACCCCAAACCCTATATAACCCCTATATGATACAACCCCCCTATAACCATCTTTTTGGGTTCTCTGTTGCCAAATTTTGCTTCAAGTCCCTAAACCCTAAACTCTGAACCCCAAACCCTAAACCGCAGGTGGGGGCTCCTCGACCAGTGACTTTCGGTTGAAGTCGCCCAATGGCAGATACCTTACTTACTGGGGGTTAATAAGGAATATTGGGGTAAAATCCGCCGACCTGGGGGGGCGTGTTGTATAGGGTTAAATCGGGATATAGGGTTTCGGGTTCAAGGTTTGGAGTTTAGGGTCAGTAGGGAAGAAGGGAATATGGTATATAGGGATCATGAATTTTATGGGGAATATATTGAATATGTAGGGAATATATTCCCGTATTTCCTACCGGCCCCCCGGAAAACTTAGCAATCACGGAAACCCGCAGAATCATCTTTGGAAGCACCCGGGTCCCAAAAAGCCGTGAGACCAGCTTACAACCCTAACGCGCTCTGGCAGAGGTTCTCCGAGAGTTCTGGGCAGAAACGGAGCTAGTGGGTAACGGGTCTAGAAAGCGCTGCGTTTCGCAGGGGGAGTCTGCATGGCCGGATCTTCGGCTTTACTAAGCGGCGGTCATGATTGCGCGGATTTGTCAGAAAATGCCGCGCGCAGCTTCGACCTGACATGAGGCTGGGGCATCTTTCTCAAGCAAAACTGTGCGCGAACCCATGGCTTTTGCATGGGGCATCTCAATTCAGCAATGTTGCACACATATTTCGTACGATTGCGCGCGGTGAATTTGCGAACCTGTGCAACAATACTGCGTTTTGCAGGTGAAAGAGGACGTAGCAGACATGGCAGAGCGGTGGTCAGGCTTTTGTCTGTGTACGCGCGATCAGAAGCAGTATATGACATGCATTTTGTCCCACGACGCGCGGTGTTTTTCATCAGAGTTCCTGACCTCGGATGCACTCGAGTCATGACGGCCAACTGGAAATTTCTCAAACTAATCCTTATATAATTCAGGTTTAGGGTTCAGATTTAGGGACCTCTGCTGCACTTTGTCTTGAGAGCCCGCTGTCGCTGATTGAGCACTGGCATTCGCATGAGGCATATCTACCCAAAGAAGTCCCTTAACCCAAAGCGCTTAACCTAAAACCTAAGCCCTGAACGACCATTTTCTGCGTGCAAAGGCTGCCTCAACTTCGCCCTGTGCCGGTTGCACACCATTCAAGTCCTAGAATACACAAGCTTGGAAACAGAAAGATTAGAACAGACCCGACCTAACTGCCGTTTACTTTCACAACATACCGTATGCTTTGTCCTGTGCAAGCTCCCGTCCTTCTATATCAATGCTGGTCAACAACTGCTTCGCTTGCTCTGGTCTGGACATTGCACTTCGAAATCAAACTTCAACATTTCACGACGACCGGCAGGACTGTTCAGATTGATTCCTGATTGGGAGGGGCTGTTCTTGCGTGTGAGCGCCGCAGCCACATGCACCCCTTGAATGCAATGTCTTCCCTACCTCAGTATGCACTAGAGGGATGAGCCAGAAGGTGAGGATATGTCCTGACTGGTTGGGCGAGATGGTATGGAGGATTGAGTTGGCAATGAAAGCGTGTCGCCTCGTGTGCTTCACTTAGGCATCAAATCGACTGGCAAAAGAAGATGGGAAACCTGCACTTTATGATTCATGTGCGATTTGTTGTCAAGAACACTCTCGCCTGTGCTGGACTGCCGCTTTCTCGCTCTAAATGGCTTGCTCGACCCGGCATGCTCAATTTGCATGCGTTGACTTTCAACATGTTAATGAGTCAATCGATCAAACAAACAGCTTGTGAGAGTCGAAGTAGGTCAACTCAGTTTTGTTGTGAAAGTTTTGTTAGGCATCTGCACATGCAAGACAAGGCACCAAATCACATCCCCTGCAGGAGTGAGCCTTGGGGCTGAGAACACGCAGCGAAAGTGCTTCTCTATTGCGGAGGCGTGGGGAAGCATCGACATGCACCCACGATCCACGGCAGACTCGTTCAGTTTGGCAGTCATGCTGGACACCACGTCATCCACCTTGCATTGGGAAAATCATTCAGAAGACAAGTAGTTGGTCAGGGTCCTACTCAATGCCTGAAAGGCATACCATGGCTTCGCATGGAATGTAAACTGCTCCACCGCCCACCTGGAACTCGTCCATTTTAGTAAGGAAATTTTGGAACCAGTTCACAGACTCGGAGAAGTAGCCTTCATTTCCGCGCAGGACACGGGCCAATGCCAAGTCGCTAAAGAAACATGGCCAATCTCGTCCAGACTTGGTGCGCTTCTCAAGGTCATCTGCAAATTTCTCTCGCAGCTTTGCAACAAGCTCCAGCTCGTCCTTCTCTGGCCAGAGATCCAGATGATGCAGCTCTTTGTGGGCCTTGTGGCTGCTGTTCGCTGCCAGACCCATCCGAGTAGCATATAAAGCTGCAATCTGCTCTGATCCTCCACACTCCGTGACGAAGGATGAATCTCGAAGTGAGTCACCACTTAAGACCTGGACCTTTTGCAGAAATTTCGCAGGCACAAACGTCTTACACAGGGTGAAGAGGTTTGCTATCGTCCATGGCACATTGACCACGTAGACTTTGGAAACTATTTCAGCGGCTACCTTCTGCTGGAAGCAGTCCACTACGTCTCGTCGGTGAGCGCGCAGGAAGGTCCGGTTGATAACGGTCTCGAAGGAGCACCCCTCGACATCAACCAACAGCACGATTCGCGCAATGCGGCCACTGGACCTGCTGAGGGAGTCCAATTCCACGCACTGCAGAATGGTCGCAGCTTTGCCTTAGTGTTTGAATCAGGTTGCCCCGTCTGAAAATACTTTTTGAAGCTACCGCTTCAAACGCACCAGGCTGCTGTAGGTGACCCATTGGTCCCAGTCCATATGCTCCATGATCCCGTTCTTGTCCTGGTCTATCAGCCTTGGCTGGTCTTAGAAAATCTTATGCCGCAATCGCCAGAAACCTCTACACTCATGCAGGAATGAAGAGCGAGCTGCGGGAGGTACATGATAACATCCCCTGATGACGCCAGCTGCGGAGCATGTAGCTCTGCATGGTAAAAGTCCTTGACGGTATCATGGTGTGGCAGCATGCTGGCCTCGATCTTGTGAGATCCACTGGCTTCAAAGCGGCGAATCATATCTTGTATCAGATCCTCCACTCCTGCCTCTGAGATAACACGGAGAAAGGCCTCCAACAAGAAGCATGCTTCAATTCTCGCAGTATGCCCTTACAACAACTTGCTTTTTGATTTTGTGTCATGTCACAATGTGCTGCCTGGAACCACTCGCATGCTTTCTCGACGTTCCCATCCACAGCGTGGAGGATGCGAGCCAGAGCGATTGCTCCAAAGAAGCAGCGGTATGCGCGGCCGTTAGCCTCACGGGAATCGAACTCCTCGTGAAAGCGCTGCCTCAAGGTTCGCACAAAGTCTTTCTCTTCGCTTGTGAGAAACTCGGCATCTTCATCGTCAGGGGATGCGGGTGCCATCTCGTGCTGTTGCTGGTTTGCTTCAAGTCTTGATTGTGGTACAGCTGAGTTAGTTCGGTGGACGGGCTTGGCAAGGGTAGATCACATGTAGGTTGTGCACTTGTGCGGGCGCGGCTAGAGTTTGCCGTAGGCATGGGTCTGAAGCCGGTAGAAGGTAGCAAATGTCTTCTCAAGCTTCCAAAGCAAGAGGAAGCCAGTCTCACAATCTTTTTCCGACGTCGAAGCCTAAGCGCTGATCTCAAAGATAAACTTCCCAGAAGCTGGGATTGTGACCCCTACCTCGACCCGCACCAAGCACACTTTCTGCCTGTCTTCATAATCTGCATGAGGAATGAATGTGCTTGCATGCTTGCTCTTATCCTCACCCAGCGGCGTCAATTGACAAGACGCTCACTGGAAGATCATCCCTCTCATCTTCAAAGTGGCCGTCAGCTACTGCTTGCAGCCGGCAGCCACGCAACAAAGTGGCCCTTCGCAGCGGCGTCCTGATGGAGGTGGCACATGTTTGCGACATGGACACATTTGGGAGTAGGTAATCTAATGCCAGTTCTCGCACTGTTTGTAGCGCAAAGAAAACTCCAGAATATCCCCACTCGTTTCGCTTCATTGCATAGTTAGATGACTCCAGCACCACCAGCACTGTCCTCAAGACCTTTTGTCGTCTTTACTTGCACCCAGTCGACGGACATCGGAACATTGCCCTGCAGAGGCTTGCAGCGTAATGTAGCAAAGTGCCCTGTGATTGTCCTACTATCTGGCTCAGCCTCTCCCAGGTGTAGCCGCAGCTCGTAGCGGCTTCCAATTTGAGCTTTATCCTTCTCATGAGCACCTAGGCCAATCTCAGATGGTGGGTCCTAGGATTGAGAAACGCACATGCGCTGAGGTTTGTACCAATCGTCCAGAAGAGGCCTGCAGCAGCAAATCGCCAAATGCTATTCTTGCCAGCCTACTGTTGTCTTCGCTTCAGGGCTGCATTATTCTCTGAGTCATTCCCTCCTAATCATTGTTTAACTGTAATGCAATGTGCCGCAAAACCTCGTGATTCCCTTACACTCCTTGCATAACTACTATGATAGAGCTACATTGCAATATACCCAAAACCCTAAATCCTGGTATAGCTACACTGATACAAACTTTACCTTACTGGCGATTAGTAGGGGTGAAGGGAATGTAATCCATATACAATCCCCCCTGCAATATATTCCCTTGTTCCCCGCCAGCCCCCAGAAAGTTACACCCCAGGGCTCCTCAACCTTAAACCCTAAACCCCAAATAGTAGCTTCCACTTTCTTTCTATATAACCCCTATATAGTACCCTAAACCCTATACCCTTAAGTATCTTAATCCAGAAGGCTCCACTCAGTGCCCGGCCCTCGGTCTCGGGGCCTGGCCCTTGCAGGTCGTGGCTTTCATGCGGATTCGCCTTGGAGCTGTGGTAGGGTTTTGGGTGTAAGGTTAGAGTTTGGGGTTTAAGCTTTTTAGTTTAGGGTTTAAGGTTTAGGGTTTAGGGTTGAGGTGTGCCCGATTTCCTTTTACTTGCTGGGGTTTAGTGGGGAATATGGGAATGCATTATATAGGGACTATGTAGGGATTACATTCCCTTATTCCCTACTAAGAACCAATACGTTTAGGACTTAGGGTTTGCTTTTTTCGATTAGGGTTTAGGGTTTAGGGGTTTAGGGTTTAGGGTTCAAGGCTTCAGGCTCTTTTTGCCCAAAGCCCTACTCATGGTCAACGAGTCCTGCCCTGGAGGCGCTACCCTGAATTGGTCCTTGTCTGCTAAGCCCTTATAGTCCCCTTTAAGTAGATAGAATATGGGGTATATGGGGATCTTATTATGACATACCCAAAGCCATATTCTATCTACTTAAGGGGGATTATAACCCTAAACCCTGATGTTCTGGGTTCCCTGCATCCTTTGCTGAAGGAACCAAGCATCTGGAGGTCAGGCCGTCCTCACCAAGCTTAGCGCGTCAGCCCTCAAAGACCACAGTTTTCGGAGTGGCACAGGAAAGACCCATATTGCACAGAAGAGAAAGGAGCCGCATTGTAATGCGCGGACTTTTGGGGGCCTGGCCAGGAGAAAGGACATGGTGTTGAGATGGCGACGATGGGAGGGGGCGGCGACCACGGTGATGGGCGGGGTTCGCTTAAGTCAACAAATAAAAACAATTTGATCCTCAGTCTCTGCTGCCTCAGCTGCTAATGTCGATACAGACGGAGGCCGTCTACCTTTGACAGCAAACAATGCAGCTCTTGCAGCTGAAGCATTCCTCGTAGACGACAAAGCTGACCTGCAATCTTCATCTCAACATGACAAGCTATTTTCGAAAAACAGGGGCCATCTTTTCGGGGACCCCTACAAAACGGACTTTGGTTCTGTAGGCAGAAGAAGGGATCACCAATTTTGAGAAATTCCCACGTTCTGAAGCACACGCTCAAGCCTTCGCAAGCTCGTTGAGCTCTATGAACAAGTGGTAGTACTTGCCTGCAACAAAACTCAATAGTTTCCATAGCAGGACCCCAACATAGACCATAAAACGACATAATCCTTCCTAAGTCTTTTGGTAAAGGGTACCCATGCTTTGGAACACTGAATCCGTACATCATCCCACTTTCCAGTTAATTTTCCATCTTCTTTTCCATGTGATCCTCCATTATTGGGATTAAAGCCCTAAACCCTGCCCCCCACATCGGTAACTACTTCGGTCCCTCAACCCTAAACCCTAAACACCATCATGGTATGTTCGATTTTCTTTTCCATTATCCCAATATAACCCCAATATAACCCACATACTTTATCACCCCCATATAACCCCCAATATAGCACCAATATAACCTCTATATAACTCCTATAACCCCTGTATAACACCTATAGAATATTACCCCAATGGGCTCCTAAGAATCATACAGAAACCTCAAAAGAGTAGCGTTTTTTTTTTGTGGTTGAACCTAGTAAGATTATATTCCTTATATAAAATACTATACCCCAAAAGGAGGATACAAGCTTACTCTATATTGGGTACCATAGTATTATTCACGGAAGTCAGTCGGTCATGAGAATCAAGCGCTGAGCACTTTGGCTCCTCGAATAGAAATAATCTAGAATAACTAGAGTCGGGCAATAATGGAAGCAAGATCATCTATGATCTTCTGACATGAGTTGAGTTTTGCCATAAGAAGGTCTATGGATTGGAGTGAGGCGTGGATGCAAGTTCTGTGAATTTTATCCGGCGACT